ATTTGATTATTGTTGCAGATCTAGTAATTTCAGTGGAGATTTCAACACCATTCTTTAAGTACTACCATTTCCAGCACTGGATATATGAGTTTTTGGTTTATTTGCCCTATTTTTATCCTGTCTTAAAGTTACTTAAAAACATGCCCTAATGCCCTGCCTTTGTAACTACATCATGTGACTTTCACCATCACCACAGAGAAATAATGCATAGTCCTCTGCACCTGAATTGTTCCATATGTGAAATCCTAGTGTAAGTGCTGGGAAAGAGTGGGTAGGGATAGGAAATATACAGGGTGTGTTAAGAGCTACAAGAGCTCATAAGTCTTTGGGCCATCTCAGAATGTGGGAGAGAGCAAAGGAATAACCTGTGTATGTGCGAGTGGTGCACATTTGTGACTATGTCAGGTGGCAAGAGATTGGAGACTCCTGCTTGTAGCATATTGTAGCCTGAGGAGAGGTTTTGTATTTTGAAGTTTGCTAAAGGTCAGAGGCATGAAATATAAGAGGAACACTTCACATTAATTAAGATTCTTTAGGGGGAGGATTTCCCCTCTTTGATATTTGTGTTTCTCTTTTTCTTCTGTTACTACTACAATTCCTCACCACAACCACCAAAGAGAAAGAGTGAAAAAATCTGGAGATGAAACTAGAATTTTAAAGGGAATAATTCCAAATAGAGTTATACTATACAGTGCTTTACAGCAAGGAAAAACTGGAATGTGAGTGTGATACACAGGCACACCTTGTTTTATGACACTTCACTTTATAGTGCTTAGCAGACATCGCGTTCTCTCACAGATGACAGGCATGTGGAAGCCCTCCACAAGCGTGTCTGTGGGTGTTTTCTTGCAGTGCCCACTCATTTCATGTCTCTGTGTCACATTTTGGTAATTGTCACAACATTTCAGACTTTTTCATTGTTATTATGTTTGTTATGTATCTGTGCTCAGTGATTTTGATGTTACTATTGTAATTATTTGGGGGCGCCATGAAGAACCATGCCCACATACGATGGTGAACTTAACTGATAAACATTCTGACTGCTCTGTTGGTCAGCCTCTCCATAGGCCTCCCTATTGCCTGAGACAAACAATATTGAAATTAGGCTAGTTAATAACCCTACAGTGGTCTCTAAGTGTTCAGTTGAGAGGAAGAGTCTCATTCTCTCACTTGAAAGAAATGATCAAGCTTAGTGAGGAAGCATGTTGAAAACCAAGACAGGCCAGAGCCAGGCCTCCTGCACCAAACACTTAGCCAAGGCATGATGCAAAGGGAAAGTTCTTGAAGGAAATGAAAAGTGCTCCTCTGGTGAACACATGAATAATAAGAAAGCAAAATGGCCTTCTCCTGATATGGAGAAAGTTTGAGTGGTCTGGATGGAAGATCAAATCAGCCACAACATTCCCTGAAGCCAAAGCCTGATCCACAACAAGGCACTGACTCTTCAAATCTGTGAAGGTTGAGAGGGGAGGAAGCTGCAGGAGAAAAGGTTGAAGCTGGCAGACGTTGGCTCATGAGGATTAAGGAAGGAAGCCATCTCCATAACATAAAAGTGCAGGTGAAGCAGCAAGTGCTGGTGGAGAAGCTGCAGCAAGTTCTCCAAGAGATCCAGCTGAGATAATAGTAAAGGTGGCAACACTAAACAGCTTCTCAGTGTAGATGAAACTATCTTCTACTGGAAGAAGGTGTCATCTAAGTCTTCCATAGCTGAAGTGGAGAACTCAGTGCCTATCTTCAAAGCTTCAAAGGACAGACTCTTGTTAGGAGCAGTTGGTGACTTCAAGTTGAAGCCAGCTTACCAATAATTGCTCAAATTACCAATATGAGCAATAAATGAATGCTCATTGACCATTCATAAAATCCTAGGGCCCTTCAGAATAATGCTAAATCCATTCTGCCTGTGCTCTCTAAATGAACAGTGCCTGGATGACAGCACATCTGTTTACAATAGATTTACTAGATATTTTAAGCCCACTCTTGAGACCCACTTCAAGAAGGATTCTTTTCAAATATTACTGCCCATTGACAGTGCACCCGGTCACCCAAGAGCTCTAATGGGGATGGACAGTGAGATTCATGCCTGCTAACACAGCATGTACTCTGCAGCCCACAGACCAAGGAGTAATTTTGACTTTCAGATCTTATTATTTAGGAAATACATGTTGTGAGGCTATAACTGCCATAGATATAGTGATTCATCTGATGGATCTGGGCAAAGTGAATTGAAGATCTTCTGGAAAGGATTCACCATTCTAGACCATTAAGAATATTTGTGCTTTGTGGGAAGAGGCGAAAATATCAACATGAACAGGAGTTTGGAAGAAGCTGATTTCAATCCTCATGAGTGACTTTGAGGGATTCAAGATCTCAGTGGGAAGAAACTGCAGGTATGGTGGAAACAGGAAGAGAATTAGAATTAGAAGTGGAACCTGAAGATGTGACTGAATTGCTGTGATCTCATGGTAAAATTTGAGTAGATGAGTAGTTGTTCTTATGGATGAGCAGAAACAGTGGTTTCTTGACATGGTAACTACTCCTGGTGAAGGTACTATGAAGGTTGTTAAAAATGACAGAAAGGAGTTAGAATATGACATAAACTTGGTTCATAAAGTAGCGGCAGAGTTTGATAGGATTAACTCCAGTTTTGAAAGAGTTCTTCTGTGGGTAAAATGTTATTAAAGAGCATCAAATGGTACAGAAAAATTATCTGTGAAAGGAAGAGTCAATCAACATGGCAAACTTTGTTATTGTCTTATTAAGAAATGGCCACAGCCACTCCAGCCTTTAGCAACCACTCCTGAACAGCCAGCAGCCATTGGCACTGAGCAAGATTCTCCACTGGCACAAAGATTGCTGAAAGCTCAGATAGTGGTTACTGCTTTTTAGCAATGAAATATTTATAAATTAAGGTATGTCCATTGCTTTTTAGACAGAATGCTGTTGCACACCTAATAGACTATAGTCTGGTGTAAACATAACTTTACACACTGGGAAACTAAAGCATTCATCTGACTTTCTGTATTGCATACTTGCTTTATTGCAGTAGCCTGGGTCTGATCCTGCAGTTTACCCAAAGTGTGCCTGTAATAAAATGCACTATATTATAGGCATTTATACAAATTTAGGGTATTATGAACAAAATATAAATGTAAACACTAATAGCCTGATTAGAGCATAAAGATATAAAATATGCCATGAAGGAATGGATCCATGTTTCAGCCAACCTGGGATTTTGTCTCTTAACAGAAAAATGCTACAGCATGCTCTGGTTGCCTGTCCTGGTGGTCAGCAGTGAAAGATTAGAGATGTTTCACCCCAATTCCTTGGCTATAATGTATCTATTATTCATTCAAGCTTTTAAAAACTTGTAGGCAACTTAGGACTAAATCCATATTAGCATGGCAACAGATTTTATATTTTACTCCCTGACATGGGAATTACTATCTCATTTATTTGTCTAAGTTTACAGTACTACCAAGCTCCTGAATGTACTTTACAGTTCTCATAGTCTACAGTTTTGTGAATAATCTGTGTTCAGCTTATATATACCTTCATGATTTCATAAATTTTTTTCCTCTTCATCATTTTTTTTGGTATCATTAATGTACAGTTACATGAGCAACATTTTGGTTACTAGACTCCCCCATTATCAAGTCCCCACCACATACCCCATTACAATCACTGTCCATCAGCATAGGAAGATGCTATAGAATCACAACTTGTCCTCTCTGTGTTGTACTGCCTTCCCGGTACCGCCCCCCCCCACTACAGTATGTGTGCTAATTGTTATGCCCCTTTTTCCCCCTTGTCCCTTCCTTCCCACCCATCCTCCCCAGTCCCTTTCCCTTTAGTAATTGCTAGTCTGTTCTTGGGTTCTGTGAGTCTGCTGCTATTTTGTCCCTTCAGTTTTTTCTTTGTTCTTATACTCCAGAGATAAGTGAAATCATTTGATACTTGTCTTTCTCTGCCTGGCTCATATAGAGCATAATATTCTCTAGCTCCATCCATATTGTTGCAAATGGTAGGATTTGTTTTCTTCTGATGGCTGAATAATATTCCATCGTGTATATATACCACATCTTCTTTATCCATTCATCTACTGATGGACATTTAGGTTGTTTCAATTTCTTGGCTATTGTAAATAGTGCTGCGATAAACATAGGGGTGCATATGTCTCTTTCAAACCAGGCTCCCGCATTCTTAGGGTAGATTCCTAGGAGTGAAATTCCTGGGTCAAATGGTATTTCTATTTTTAGTTTTTGAGGAACCTCCATACAGCTTTCCACAGTGGTTGAACTATTTTACATCCCCACCAGCACTGTAGGAGGGTTCCCCTTTCTCCACATCCTTGCCAGCATTTGTTGTTTGTCTTTTGGATGTTGGCTATCCTCACTGGTGTGGTTATATCTCATTGTGGTTTTAATTTGCATCAAATGATGTGGAGCATCTTTTCATGTGCCTGTTGGCCACCTGAATTTCTTCTTTGGCGAAGTGTCTGTTCAGTTCCTCTGCCCATTTCTTAATTGGCACATTTGCTTTTTGTTTGTTGAGGTGTGTGAGCTCATTATATAATTTAGATGTCAACCCCTTATCGGATATGTCTTCTTCATCATTTTTTAATGGAACCTAGATCTTTTTAGTCCTGTCTCTACTTAAGAGGCATATGGGAATTGTGTTGTTAGAATGTGTATGATAAAAACATTCCACTGTAACAAAGTACCTTTCTTCAGAACCTTTAACAAGCTTGTTTTAACCTCTCATTATTCTTGAAAGATAGATAGGATAACTGTGTTGTACATTTGAAACCAGTATAAAGTTGTATACAATGATATTCCATGGCAGAGAGGAATTCCTTTAGTTTTGAAATTCTCTCCAAGGGGCCCTGATCTTCCTCACTCTCTAGTCTCTAAACATGTATCTTCTGATCTTCTCTTCCTCACATCACCTAGGCGGAGCTGTGCCATGTCTGACGGTAGCCATGCAAGTAATGATGTGACCAGCTGAGCACCACCAATTTCTGTATCTGGGGACTGCAGCCGAGCACTACTGCCCAGGACCTTGTCAATGTGTGTCAGTTGTAAGTCAGGGAACATGTGGGTAGGCTCCCAAGGACAGTAAAGATGTGGTGATGCTGGCTTCTTGTAGGATACTCTTACACTGAAGTTCAGGACTACTTTACTTCTACCCCATAGTGACAAAGTTTCCTGGCAGCCCCTCTTAAAGAAATTCTACCTGCTACTTATACACATCTTTATGTCTTTGAGGACAGCCAGGATAGGGCTGGATTTTGAAGCCTCGTATGTAACTTTGTTTCCAGCAGGTATGCAGAACTCATGGTCTTAGATTCCTGTCCTTACACCTTGAATAGAAATGCTCAATATCACTAAAGATATTAAATAGAATTCAGTGGGAGCTGGTAGTGGGGATGGAAGAAAGTGGGACTGGCTAGTTGAATGATGCACAAAGGAGTTTCTGCTGCTAGAAACATTCCTGGTGAACCAGTGGTGCCCTCACCATAGTGGGTAGAGAAAAAGACGGAGAAAGAAGCAGTAGCTCTGCATCTACCCCCTAAAGACGTTCCGGGTTCTTTAGAGTAGATTGGAGTCCTGAGGCAGAAAAACTAGTGGGATTAGCCCTATTAGAAGTGCTCAGAAAATTGCAAGAGTGCAGAGATGCCAGCTCAGTTCCACTGGGCAAGCAAGTGTGTGTTTCAGATAATATATTTTGGGGGAATTATTGGAGGAAGACATCTGGGGGTAGGAGGGGGACAGTGGGGGAGTGGGGGTTGAATTTGGGAAATAAGAACCTTTGTGCAAATTTGCCACCCTTTAAGACATTGTGTCAAAGTGTAACGAGTGTACAGAAAAGTGCACACATCTCAACCACACAGTGGTGAGCTCTCACCAGGAGAGCACACCGTGTGACAGTCCCTTGTGACAAGATCAGGAAGTGGAACATCACCAAGTCTTCAGGAGCTGGCTTCTCAGCTACTGTCTTCTCCCATCCCAAAGGTGTCTGCCATTTGACTTCTAAATAACTGGCCAGAGTGGTTTGAGTTTCATGTACATATAATGACATAGCACATGTCTGGCTACCATGCTCAGTTTGTGAGATTCATCCACATTGTTGCATTTAGCAGAACATTGTTCATTCTTACTGCTTTACAGAATCCATCATAGGGTTTACCACAGTTTATTTATTGGCCTAAGTGTCTCTGGACATTTGCATTGTTTCCAATTTATAACTGTTATGAGCATGTGTAGTGCTGCTACAAACTTGTACATGTCTTTTGGTTCACTGCACACACATTTGTGTGAGATGTGTGCCAAGGAGTAAAATCACTGTCATTGGATACATATTTTTTCAGCTTTTGCTGGTACTGCTAAACAGTTTTCTGAAGTGGTTAAACTAATTCAAACTCCTACAACAGCAGCTGTTCCAAATCCTGGAGAGGTAGAACATTTTGCCCCCAGAATGTGGTTGGTTGAGGCATCAGAGGTTCTCTATAATTCCATGACTCTTCTGAGGTAATAAATCATATGGATTTTTGCAAATGCCAGACTGCACAGACTGGCTCTAATGGCTATAGGTGTATGTATAAAGCTGAGCTTTCCTTGCCAAAAAAGTATTTAAATGGGACTTGGGGACTTAGTCTTGGACCAGTAATTTTGGGAGGCTGTGGGAACTGGCAGAAATGTTGGTTTATGAGAGAAAAGAGTATCATATCAGTGTAGTTCTTTGATTTCTGCACCCTGTATTTCTTGTACTAGATACAAAGTGCCTCAAAAACCCTTTTGCTCCACAAGACAGAAAAATTTCAGTTCTGCTTCACTATATTTTTAGACTTTAATTTTGCCCCTCCCAGTAGTTGCTGTACCTTCTGCTATGTCTGAGGGGATGAGAATGGTCAGGGTTAACAGGTCGGATGGAAGTAAGGAGCCCAGCATCTGACCGTGGAGAAGTAGGAATAAGTCAGGGAAAAAGCAGATGCAGGTGAGTTACGGCGAAGGGAAGCTAGGGTGAGCAGGTAGGTGGAACTATTAAGGATGCTATGAACTGGGAGTTAAACATCTCTAGGAAGGGTGTTACCCATGAATAGATGACTTCCTGCCTTTTTACCAGTTGTCTTTCTCTGGGTTGTAGGGGAAATAAACATTGCTGTGCCCTAAACCCCGTTGGGGCAGGAAGGAGACGTGTGGAGTCGGGCTGGAGCTCCTGGTTCTCTTGAGGCTCCTTCCAAGGAGGAGGCAGGAGTGACCCCCTGCAGTAGGGGTTATGAGCTTACAGTCACAGGCTGCTCACAGCAAGCTGCACCCTGGGGCCTTGACACGGACAGCAGCCTGTGTGCCCTGGCCTACAATCTCACGCACCCTTGCCTAAGTTTGGGAAAGAGTCCAAGGGTGACCCTGGAGGGCTTGGGTTGCCACATCAGGCCCGCCTCTGCTTTGATATGTTCTTTTCCCTGCCTTGTCCTACTCTGTCTAACCCAGTAGGTCACAGAAGCCCCACTAAAAAATCAGAGATGGCTAAGGAATGGAACAAATCCATCAAACATATATGCTTTAGGGATGAGAGTAGAGGGAGAGGAAAATGTTTATTTGGGGTCTGAATTCAGTCCCTGCCAGGTATTTTCAGTTAAATCATATACTTCTGGCTTTTTCAGTGATTTCTGTTCTGTATCTTTAATATTCTCACTGTCCTGAAGCAGAATGTAGGGCCTTCCATATAGTGAGACACTCTAATGTAATCCTTGACTTGTGACGCTTCACTGCTCAAGTTTGGGGAATTCCACAGGACTGTGCTGCCTAAGTAAAATTTTCAAGAAGTTGAAAAGTATGACTCTCATACAAATATATGCCAGAGATTTACTTAATTCATTACTGAGGGAACCAGTAGGATGGTAACACATGTTCAAAGAGCATTTGAGGGACTAAATATAGGGTATAGAAGAAAGAATGTTGGAATAAGATTGCTAAACTATGTACAAAATTGGTTCATAGCCTACAAGACCATAAAACAGAAACCTTTGGGATTATCTTTTCTACTGGAAAAAATCTGCAAGTTAATATGGATCTTCACAGATTCTGGACCCTAATCAGTAGTAAACAGTCAAACACCCTCTAGATAGTTAAATATATCCAGTAAGGGCCTGTTAGACAATGTTCCCAAATGGCACCGAAAGGGTATGCAGCCCTCATTTTGCCTTAGAGTCATGTTTTAGATAATTTTCTTAACCCATAAAACCTCGACAATGAGAAATCGAAGTCTTAGAAGACAGGAAAGCAGGAGAGAGAGCCATTTTCAGGTGGCAGTGGAGGAGTCTTGAGTGTAGAGATGGTAATGATAGCAGTTAGGAATTTTCAAGTATTTGCCATATGGTAAGCACCAGTGCTTTGTCTCTCTTGAGCTCATTTCAGATTCCCAGTAATCCTCTCTCCACTTGACGGGGTGCAACAGGCACATGAAGGTTAAATGGCTTGTGCAAGGTCACACATAGCTAGAAAGGGGCAGGACCAGGATTTGAACAAAAGCAGTTTGGCTTAGATCGACCTTCAATCAGGTGTCCAATGGAGGGTGGGGAGTGGGGTGTCGGAGAAGAGAAATGTCTGTAGGTTTTTGAAAAAGAAAGGGTGTGAGTTGTGCCAAGGATTATTTGTAGTCCTCAAGGGCTTTAGCTGGAGCTCTGCCCCTGCCCACCCTGCTATGTGCCATCGCCAGATGTCTTTACTAAGACAGCAGTCTCTTTCCAACTAGTATCTGAGTCTCAGAGGGATAAATTTGTTAACAGTATGAAGACTACAGTTACTTTATTACTTGTAGGCATCTTTGGAAAATAGGTTTATATGGTAAGCATAACATTTGAAATTCATTTCTTCTCTGTTTTATTAAGGTTTGAACAGGAACAGTTGTCCCAGTGGGAGGAGAGAAAGGGCATGGATTTGTGCAAATTCTCAGTCTCTGTCCTGTTTTAATCCCTGCTGCCAGATTATCACCTTGCCTTTTCTTCTCCTTTAGATACAGCAGGATTGTTTCCACTAAGGCCATAGTGGACAAGACCGCAAACAAGTGCAGAAGTGAGAGGACAGCTCTCCCTGGTGACAGAGCGGCTGTGAGTGATCCTAACCCTCTCCTCTGCCCTTTGCTGCAGGAAGTTCCTAGTACCCAGTGCCAGGGAAGAGCCTCTAAGGCTTTCACACTAGTAGGTATTTAGATTCTTTGCTGACCAGATCACTAGAGCTGCAAATGCAAAGCTCACACAGAGCATTTTATAATTCCTTGGGCTTACTTTGAACTAATGATTCCCTGGATTGGGTGGTGGATGTGGGTTGGTGAGATCATTTGTACTTCGCAAAGCATTGTAAATGCCTTTTCTGATACTGGGGGATGACTTATTGGGTGTTATTTTGTGAGAATCAATAGTGTTGTTGAGGTTTTGAAGAGTTCTAGGTGGGGATAGAAGATTGGAAGAAGGGAGAAGGTCTGTGGGCTGGGGAGCGGCCTCTTTAGCAGGTGGCTGGTTATCTGCAGCAGAGAGGCTGATTCCCTACATGCGCAGTATTTCTGGGCAAGCGGCCAAGACCACAGGAAGGGGGTTCTTCTGGCGGTGGAGGGTGGGTGCTGTGGATTATTAGAAGAGCCTAGTCTTTGACACCTCAGGTTTCTTAAGGGGGGAAGGCAAGGATACCACAGGACCTCATTGCCCTTGGCATTCTTAGCTAGAAACTAGAGCCGATCTCACAGAGCTTGAGGGACACAGGGATAGTCACTGGGAACCTCCTAATTTCTCTGTCTCCCGACCGCTTCTGTTCCATGGATCGTAACTCTTCCTCCAACTCCTGAAGAGCCTGGGCCTCCCACCCCCTCCTACGCCCATCTCCCAGTGATGCTGTGTCTATGGCTTCGTGGACTTGGCGGTCCTTGGGCAGCACAAAAAGCTGTAACAGCACTGAGAGCCAGTGGTGTGCAAGCACAGATGGCCAAGGTGAGCGCACCTCCCCATGTCTGCTCCTCCAAGGGGTCCAGCACGGGGCTTCCAGAGGGTTTTGGAATCGTGAAGGTGGTGGGCAAAGGCTCTCTGCCAGTTTTTCCAACTGATGCCCAGACAGAGTCAGACTAGCTGCTCACTGAGCAGCCCCTTGATGGCTAGAGGAAGGTGAGCTTCACAGTCTGTGGCAGGGAGCTCTGTCACCTCTGCTCCTCTTGCCAACTGGTATTATAAGCAGGAAAGAGGACCAAGAGGCTTCTTCCCTTCCTCCTGCTGTTTCTCTGTCTCCACTCACTTCCCTGCCAGACAGCTGATAGTTTGGCAACATTCTCTGAAGAAGCCAGTTGTGCAGCCCAGAAGCTCACAGCAGTGCTCTCTACCTCCTGGTAGTGTTCTTCAGGTTGGAGTCGGGGTGGCTGGAGGGGCTGGGGAGAGGGAAACTATAGTATGAAAGGAACCGTCCCTCCTTGCCAGATTTTTCGGGGAGCTTTTATTTTTACTGAGACTACTAGAGAACTGGAGGCTTTTCTGCTCCTTCTCTTAGGCAGGGTTGCCCCCTTCCTTTTCTGTGGTGGCTAAAGGAGGAGAAAGCCCAGGAGGAAAGGCAGAGGAGGGATTAAGGCTGCTGGTGACCCACCGCCTAGGGAAAAGCAATTGCTTAAATTCTTGAAAGTACAGCTATCTCCCATTTTTCATTCTTTCCTCTGGAAGAGCTCTCCCCATGCTTTTCTGGAGAAAAGCCTCTGACAGTAGAGTCAGGAGCTGTCAGAGTTCTTAGGATACTGGGATGGTAGCTGTGTGAGCTTTGCATCCAGCACATGCCCTCCCTGTCCTCTTGAGACAGGGACCATGGACTTAGAGTAGGGTGAGGGCCTCTGGAAAAAGCAAGGCAAGATATTTACAGTCAAGGCAATGTAACAGTGTAAAGTTCCTATTGAAACTGTATTCAGTATTATTCAAAGTCAAGGTCACACTAATTCTCTAGGGTAAAGATACCAGACTAGGAATATTAAGACACCTTCAGTGAGATCAGTTAAAGGTCAAAAGGCCAGGAGCAACTTGGCCTAGAGTGTTTGAGTGTTCTGCAAGGGTATCTCAGCATAACCTGTGACTTCACTTTAAACAGCCCTAGCAAACAGACAACAACCCAGCCTACCTGAGGGCAGGGCAGGTGGTCCACACACTAAGCCCTCAATTCCCCCAAATCCTCAACTGCTTATAAATCCCCTAGACAATGCACCACCCCGGGCTCTCTTGTCCCTTCCTGGCATGAGCCAGGAGCTCTGTCCTTTCACTTTAACTCTAAATAAAAGCCTGTACCTTGCTCTTCTACCTTGAGTGTGAAGCTCATTCTTCGGCTTCATGAACAAGAACCCCGGCATCACTCTTTCCCCCTCTTCCTGCTTTCCCTCTGTCAGGGAACCAACAGGCATTCCTGCTCAGAGTCTGTTGTGGCCGGGAGAGGGGGTGGGGGTGGGGATGAGGCAAAACGATGCAGCCCGGGAGCAATGCAGTCCTGAAGAATCCAGCCCTAGGACAGGCTGGCAGGCATTGTGGAGTGCTGCTCTACCTCATTCTTGAAGAGACGTCAAGACTTCATCAGCAACTTGTGTTATGGGCATGTATATATTAAATCTGTGTGCCTGGACTCAGTATACAACCCATGGTAGTGGGACTGGGTATTACCAAAAGTTGTTAAGATTTTATTTACATGGGACCTTTCCTGATATCTCTTTTCTGAGATGTCATCTTGAGGATGAGGGCTGAGGTTGGAACAGAAGAGATGTGAGTCTCATTTTTCTCACTTTTATCTCAATAACAACAGGAATGGGACCCCATAAATTTATACATATCATATCTCCCACTGTCAGTGGATCAGCAAGAACTGGAGGGAATGTTGAAGCCCTTCTGACAAGTTATCTACACTTGAATCCTTCGAGACAGCAGGGGGACCAGCAGATGGGCTGGCTTTGCAAGGTGAAGGATGCCAAGAATGGGAATGATGAGGTTGATAAAGAAGGTCACTGAGTAGGTCACCAAAAATCCTTACTCACAAAGGCACCAAACTGTTGGCCAGAAGCACTTAACAGTAAATCAAAACTTCATTTAATTACAGTTCACAATACTCACAAACCCACTTGCCCCCAAATCTGTATGCATTCTCCAGTACTTCCTGCTACTCTAGCCTTTGTTCCTTTCATCCAGACCAACCAGAATAAACACAAATTTTAAAATTTACTGAGTAGTTTCTCATCCTTTAATTCTCATCCATTAATCTTTACAACAACCTTGTGCAATAAATACTACCTCTCTGTTTTGTAGATGAAAAAATCCCCAGTATGAAGCGGTTTGCCTGAAGTTTCACAGGAGCTCATGGGTGGTAGAGCCAAGCCTTAATCAAGATCAGTTAGGATGAAGGGGAAGATTTTCTCTACCTTTTCAGATCTATTGAGGGAGTTAGATTCTGGAACCAACTCTGCCACTGATACCAGACCTTCTGGAGCCGTGGTTGCTGTGGGAAGTGGAGATTGATTTAGATGAGCCACTTCCTGAAGGTGGTCCCTTGCGCAGCAGAGTACTCTAGGCACCCTCTTCTGAGCTCAGGGGCCACTGTAGGGCTTGAGCCTCCCTGAGACCATGAAATAAATGGTTATGCTTTTATTTCAAGATTTTGTTTGAAAGATCCTGTTGCTTTTTTAAAAAAGTTTGAAAACTATTGGACTAAAGACCTGAAGGGCCTTTTTTTTTTGGTATCATTAATATACAGTCACATGAGCAACATTGTGGTTACTAGATTCCCCCCATTATCAAGTCCCCACCACATACCCCATTACAGTCACTGTCCATCAGTGTAGTAAGATGCTATAGAATTACTACTTGGCTTCTCTGTGCTATACTGTCTTCCCTGTGCCCCCTCCTACTTTATGTGTGCTAATCGTAATGCCCCTTTTCCCCTTTATCCCTCACTCCCCCCCTCTAGTCCCTTTCCCTTTAGTAACCATTAGTCCATTCTTGGGTTCTGTGAGTCTGCTGCTGTTTTGTTCCTTCGGTTTTTGCTTTGTTCTTATACTCCATAGATGAGTGAAATCATTTGGTACTTGTCTTTCTCCCCCTGGCTGGCTTATTTCACTGAGCGTAATACCTTCTAGCTCCATCCATGTTGTTGCAAATGGTAGGATTTGTTTTCTTCTGATGGCTGAATAATATTCCATCGTGTATATGTACCACATCTTCTTTATCCATTCATCTACTGATGGATGCTTACATTGATTCCATACCTGGGCTATTGTAAATACTGCTGCAATAAACATAGGGGTGCATATGTCCTATTGAAACTGGGATCCTGTATTCATAGGGTAAATTCCTAGAAGTGGAATTCCTGGGTCAACTGGTATTTCTATTTTTAGTTTTTTGAGGAACCTCCATACTACTTTCCACAATCGTTGAACTATTTTACATCCCCACCAGCAGTGTAGGAGGGTTCCCCTTTCTCTGCATCCTTGCCAGCATTTATTGTTCCTATTCTTTTCTGTGTTGGCCAACCTAACTGATGGAGGTGATACCTCATTGTGGTTTTAATTTGCATTTCCCTGATAATTAGTGATGTGGAGCATCTTTTCATGTGCCTGTTGGCCATCTGATTTTATTCTCTGGAGAAGTGTCTATTCATATCCTCCACCCATTTTTTAATAGGGTTATTTGCTTTTTGGGTGTTGAGGCATGTGAGTTCTTTATGTATTTTGGATGTTAATCCCTTGTTGGATATGTCATTTACAAATGTATTCTCCCATACTGTAGGATACCTTTTTGTTCTGCTGATGGTGTCCTTTGCTGTACAGAAGCGTTCTAGCATGATATAGTCCCATTTCTTCATTTTTTATTTTTGTTTCCCTTGCCCAAGGAGATGCATTCAGGAAAAAGTTGCTCATGTTTATATTCAGAAGATTTTTGCCTATGTTTTCTTCTAAGAGTTATGGTTTCATGACTTATGTTCAGGTCTTTGATCCATTTCGAGTTTACTTTTGTGTATGGGTTAGACAATAATACAGTTTCATTCTCTTGCATATGGCTGTCCAGTTTTGCCAACAGCAGCTGTTGAAGGGGCTGTCATTTCCCCATTGTATATCCATGGCTCCTTTATCATATATTAATTGACCATATATGGTTGGGTTTATATCAGGGCTTTCTAGTCTGTTCCATTGGTCTATGGGTCTTTTCTTGTGCTGGTATCAAATTGTCTTGATTACTATAGCTTTGTATTAGAGCTTGAAGTTGTGGAGCGTAATTCCCCCTGCTTTATTCTTCCTTCTCAGGATTGCTTTGGCTATTTGGGGTCTTTGGTGGTTCCATATGAATTTTAGGACGATTTTCTCTAGTTTGTTGAAGAATGCTATTATTTTGATAGGAATTACATTGGATCTATAGATTGCTTTAGGCAGGATGGTCATTTTGACAATATTAATTCTTCCTATCCATGAGCACAGGATGTGTTTCCATTTATTGGTATCTTCTTTAATTTCTCCCATGAGTGTCTTGTAGTTTTCAGAGTATAGGTCTTTCACTTTCTTGGTTAGGTTTATTCCTAGGTATTCTTTTTGATGCAATTGTGAATGGAGTTGTTTTCCTGATTTCTCTCTCTGCTATTTCATTGTTAGTGTATAGGACTGCCACAGATTTCTGTGTATTAATTTTTTATCCCACAACTTTGCTGAATTCAGATATTAGATCTAGTACTTTTGGAGTGGATTCCTTAGGCTTTTTTATGTACAATATCATGTCATCTGCAAACAGGAACAGTCTAACTTCTTCCTTGCTAATCTGGATGCCTTTTATTTCTTTGTGTTGTCTGATTGCTGTGGCTAGGACCTCCAGTACTATGTTAAATAGAAGGGGCGAGAGTGGGCATCCTTGTCTTGTTCCCAATCTTAAAGGAAAAGCTTTCAGCTTCTCACTGTTAAGTATAATGTTGGCTGTGGGTTTGTCATATATGGTCTTTATTATATCGAGGTACTTGCCCTCTATACCCATTTTGTTGAGTTTTTATCATGAATGGATGTTGAATTTTGTCAAATGCTTTTTCAGCATCTATGGAGATGCTTATGTGGTTTTTGTCCTTTTTGTTGATGTGGTAGGTGATGTTGATGGATTTTCGAATGTTGTACCATCCTTGCATCCCTGGTATAAATCCTACTTCATCATGATGGATGATCTTTTTGATGTATTTATGAATTCAGTTTGCTAATATTTTGTTGAGTATTTTTGCATCTATGTTCATCAGGGATATTGGTCTGTAATTTTCTTTTTTTGTGCTTGAAGGTTCCTCCAAGTCCGGCTTGGGAACTATGGCTTTGAGGACTTGAAAAACTGAAATTTCTTTCATGTTTTTATGTTGATATCTACAGACTTTCTTAATACACTTAGATTCTTGCAAAGTATAATGTCTAGCAAATTATATTGACATTTTACACAAAACTTCTATATCATTTTTAAATGTTTCCAAATAGAACTAAATGTCATAGCAACTTGATAAACAAAATCAATTAAAAAATTCAAAGGGCAGTTCATTTTTATTTCTTATTTTTTTTATTTTGGTATCATTAATCTACAATTACATGAGGAACAGTATGTTTACTAGGCTCCCCCCTTCACCTTGTAAATAGTGCTGCGATAAACACAGGGGTGCATCTGTCTTTTTCAAACTGGGCTGCTGTATTCTTAGGGTAAATTCCTAGACGTGGAATTCCTTGAGCTTTTTGAGGAACCTCCATATTGCTTTCCACAATGGTTGAACTAATTTACATTTCCACCAGCAGTGTAGGAGGATTCCCCTTTCTCCACAACCTTGCCAACATTTGTTGTTGTTTGTCTTTTGGATGGTGGCGATTCTTACTGGTGTGAGGTGATATCTCATTGTGGTTTTAATTTGCATTTCTATGAAGACAAGCAATGTGCAGCATCTTTTCATGTGTCTATTGGCCATCTGAATTTCTTCTTTGGAGAACTGTTCAGCTCCTCTGTCCATTTTTTAATCAGATTATTTGCTTTTTGTTTGTTGAGGTGCATGAGCTCTTTATATATTTTGGATGTCAACCCTTTATCGGATCTGTCATTTATGAAAATATTCTCCCATACTATATGGTACCTTTTTGTTCTATTGGTGGTGTATCAGACAAAATAGACTTCAAAACAAAGAAAGTAACAGGAGATAAAGGACATTACATAATGATAAAGGTCCAATAAGAGGATATAACCATTACAAATATATATGCAACCAATACAGGAGCACCAACATATGTGAAACAAATAATAACAGAGTTAAAGGAGGAAATAGAATGCAATGCATTCATTTTAGGAGACTTCAACACACCACTCACTCCAAAGGACAGATCCACCAGACAGAAAATAAGTTAGGACACAGAGGCACTGAACAACACACTAGAACAGATGGACCTAATAGACACCTATAGAACTCTACATCCAAAAGCAACAGAATACACATTCTTCTCAAGTGCACATGCAACATTCCCCAGAATAGACCACATACTATGCAACAAAAAGAGCCTCAGTACATTCAAAAAGACTGAAATTCTACCAACCAACTTTTCAGACCACAAAGATATAAAATTTAGAAATAAATTGTACAAAGAAAGCAAAAAGGCTCACAAACATATGGAGGCTTAACAACATGCTCCTAAATAATCAATGGACCAACCACCAAATGAAAACAGAGATCAAGCAATATTTGGAAACAAATGACAACAACACAAAGCCCCAACTTCTCTGGGACGAAGAGAAAGCAGTCTTAAGAGGAAAGTATATAGCAATCCAGGCATATTTAAAGAAGGAAGAACAATCCCAAATGAATAGTCTAAAGTCACAATTATTGAAATTGGAAAAACAAGAACAAATGAGGCCTAAAGTCAGCAGAAGGAGGGACATAATAAAGATCAGAGAAGAAATAAATAAAATTGAGAATA